TTTTTTTTTTTCTTCTTTTTTCTTTGTAATTTATTTGATTAAAGAAATTAATGCTCTTTCTATTGAAAGGGGACTGGAATAAAAAATATTTATTCGAAACATCGGGACTTATAAATCATGTTCTTTGGATGTTTTATACGATTTTTCATATGCGCGCGCACTTTGCGCAATCTTCAGAATGCGTAAACGCTTAAAATGCAAAATCTATTACTTCCTACTTGGCATCGCAATATTTGCGTAGTAAATACTTCGAACTACATACATCGGCGAAGCAACGAGGGAATGACATTTGAAATGCGATATTTTCTGTGGTAAAATTCAGTAAGTCGATGGATCAGGCATTGAACTACTGTTGCAACATGACAGATCCAATTGAATAGAAATAACGACGAGAGAAGGCTGGTCCTCGTTTGAATTGTACAAGTGACTTGAAATTAGGCTAGAAACCACATCAATGAAAACTGTTTCGAGTCAAATCGTATCGAAATACACGAATATTGCCATCGAGACCGATACACTCCGGTCTTAGCACGACTTTGCGATGCTTTCTGTTCACGGATAAAGAGGATTCATGAAAGTTTTCACAATTTCTCAAAGAATATTCGCTGACGCGGCGTATTTTCTCATACTTCAGCAACGAATACAGCGGTGAATTTTAATATTAATGGGAAATTTGAATATTAATAGCGCCACGCTTGTATTATTTATTTGCAAAATTCTGCTCGAGATATTAATTTCACCTGAGATATCTTTCCTTGTCTGATATATAATTTTTTAAAAGTACACTTTTAACCACAACTCTACAGGTTTAATCTATTAATTAGAAAAGATGAGTTAATTTTTTCTTCGTTCTCTTATTATATCCATATTAGAAGCATGTCATCGTAATCCAAGAAAGGAGTTTGGAATCGATCAAGGAATTACATAACAGAGTAATTATTAAACAAATAAAAAAATGTCAATTTAGAAACCTAACTCTCTAAGCAGCGATCTATTCAATTAAAATTCTTCCCTAGTTAAATTCCAGTTTCAACCTCAACCAATCAACTATTTTTCATTTCCTTTCCCAACGCGATGTTTTCACAGAAAAGGCGCAATACGCGCGACAAATTATTCATCCACGTTTTTTTCTA